TTAGGGTTTAGGGTTTAGGGTTTAGGGTTTAGGGTTTGCTACCTGTCACGAAGGAGTCAGGGAGAAAACACAAGAGGTCCTGGTAAACCCTCGCTGCTTTTTTGTATGAAAGCAGAGGCAACGGGGACGCTGGCCCGCACGAGAGCTGAACGCAAACCCTAAACCCTAAACCCTAAACCCTAAACCCTAAACCCTAAACCCTAGGCGCTGGGCGCTGGAGTCCTTACAACTGAACCCTCCAAACCTCCAACAAGAACAAACCCTAACATAAACCCTAAACCCTAAACCCTAAACCCTAAACCCTAGCTTACCTGCAGCAACGTTCCACCTGGAGGCATTGCTGCGTGCTGCTTGCCGAGGGTTTTAAAAAGCGAAGCCACAGAGACGTGGCCGCCTGTACAACCAAAACCCTAAACCCTAAACCCTAAACCCTAAACCCTAAACCCTAAACCCTAAACGCTAAGCTTTCGAGTGTAAACATCCTAGAGTCTGAGCCCTTTTGCTAATCCATACATATCATACGAATCCCACGCTAAACCCTAAACCCTAAACCCTAAAACCCTAAACCCTAAACCCTAAACCCTAAAACCCTAAACCCTAANAAACCCTAAACCCTAAACCCTAAACCCTCGACGCACTCAACACAGAAGGAACTAAAGAAGCAACGTGCTGAACCACCGGCACGAAACCACTTCGACATAAAAGGGCTGCAGTTGCGTCTGCTCTTTGTTTGGCGAGTTTCCTGCATGCACTCAAACCCTAAACCCTAAACCCTAAACCCTAAACCCTAAACCCTAAACCCTAGGTTTTGTATCATGAACAGGTATTTTGAAGCTGTCGCAGTGGGTGTCTCTCGCCACCGGCCAACTGAAGACGAGCGGTACAGATTAGGGTTTAGGGTTTAGGGTTTAGGGTTTAGCGCGTACTCCGGGAGAGCAGCAGAGCAAGAAGAACAGAAACGGGGCCGATGAGACAGAGGAGACTCGCCGCATACTGTGCAAACCCTAAACCCTAAACCCTCGCCCCCAACACCACAAGCCTCAGCTAGCAGCAAAAAGTTAGGGCTTTCAGCCCATACACTCCGGCACAACTGAAACCACATACACAAAACCCTAAACCCTAAACCCTAAACCCTANAAACCCTAAACCCTAAACCCTAAACCCTAGAACACTAAACCCTGATAAACCCTAATAAACCCTAATAAACCATATAAACCCTATAAAACCCTATACAACCTTATAAAACCCTCTAAACCCCTAAACCCTAAACCCTAAACCCTAAACCCTAAACCCTCGGGTTTACCTTGATAAGGAAAGGGTTTGGGTAGAAGCGAGGAGACTTCGCTAGACTCCAATACCCCGTCATGTTGTTTGTGCCTGGCACCACCACCTGCGCACACAAACCCTAAACCCTAAACCCTAAACCCTAAACCCTAAACCCTAGAAGCTGAAGGGTAGGCTTTTCTTCAAACCGCGAAATCCTCTTGTGTTGCTCGGCCGCACGGAGAGCAACAACCACAAACCCTAAACCCTAAACCCTAAACCCTAAACAAACCCTATCATGAGCGAAACAAAATGGCATATGGTTCTCTCTGCGTGTGCAATCTGCGAATTCTAGCGGGGGTTTCTACCCCTTCATCAGGGTTTAGGGTTTAGGGTTTAGGGTTTAGGGTTTAGGGTTTGACCTGGCCCGTGATGATTTCTTCTGGTGAATACGCAGACTGGCCGTCGGCATCGCGGCGGTTTAGAGCGGTTTCATTCGCCACCAAAACCTCCGGCGCGCTGTTGCTGTTGAGGAGCCTCAAACCATCGATACCTAAACCCCAAACCCTAAACCCTAAACCCTAAACCCTAAACCCTAAACCCTGATGCATGCGCTACACAGTGCAGAAACGCTATGCTAAAACCCCGCAAAAATCTGAGCGTTATATCCTTCATAACATACAACAACATATCATCTAGGGTTTAGGGTTTAGCGTCGAGGGTTTAGGGTTTAGGGTTTAGGGTTTAGGGTTTGGCGTACCGAATCTCTTAATCCAAGCCAAAACATCCAACACAAAGCGGTTCCAGCTCGCTACCTTTCTGTAGTTTAGCAGAGCTGTCTCTGTATAACAAACCCTAAACCCTAAACCCTAAACCCTAAACCCTAAACCCTAGGCCTTGTTGGGGATCCGTGGCCTGGAGCGTACCAAGCCATCTTTCGCTCCTCACTCCTAAACCCTAAACCCTAAACCCTAAACCCTAAACCCTAAACCCTCAAGGCTCACCTCCACGCTTGATACCCCTGGTTTCGCCTCCATAAAAAAAGTTGGCTTTTCCCTCGGCATCCTGAATACCCGCTCTCCAAACCCTAAACCCTAAACCCTAAACCCTAAACCCTAAACCCTAAACCCTAAACCCGCAACCTAAAACCCTAAACCCTAAAACCCTCTTTCTATCGATTCCCCCTAGAGGCTATACCGTCGGCCTTCCTAGCTTGCTATCGCAACAGCCTAGGGTTTAGGGTTTAGGGTTTAGGTTTGAGGGTTTAGGGTTTAGGGTTTAGCAGCACCTCGTGCATAAGCATCAGCGGCAAGTAGTGGCGGTGAGGGTGAGAGGAAGAAACCCTCGTAGAAACATCAACAACAACCCTCATGCCTTCTCGATGACATTCCTACACACAAACCCTAAACCCTAAACCCTAAACCCTAAACCCTAAACCCTAGATGCTTATGGTTCAAAAGCCGAGTCCTGGCGCTATCGAACTAGGGTTTAGGGTTTAGGGTTTAGGGTTAAGTAGGTGGTTAGCGAGACAGAGGATAAGCCCTGAACCTTCATCAAGATTCAAGGGTCTAGGGTTTAGGGTTTAGGGTTTAGGGTTTAGGGTTTTGTAGTGTACCTGCACCAACTCAGAAAACCCTGGGCTACCCCCCAACAAAGTGCAGGGGGCTGAGCGGCAAGGCGAAGCAAAGGGGCTAGCATCAGGGTTTTCATATGTTACATCGTCTGTATCTCACAAACCCTAAACCCTAAACCCTAAACCCTAAACCCTAAACCCTAGACCCTAAACCCTAGATGTCGAGTTCTAGATCATGAAGGATATGCAGCATCTGGATGGAGATTTGTGCACTGAAGAAGCCGCATGAGAGTCTAGGGTTTGACAAGGGTTTAACTAGGGTTTAGGGTTTAGGGTTTAGGGTTTACCCAGGCGGGTGTATAGAGGCATCCCCGTGTCTCTCTCCTGAGCTCCACTTATAAACAAACAATTTATGCGTGAAGCGCTGAAACCCTTGGCGCTGCTGGCGACGCTCTCGAACGAACCCCGCTGGGTCAAAGCCCCTAAACCACAAACCCTAAACCCTAAACCCTAAACCCTAAACCCTAAACCCTAGACTTGGATTCTTACCAAACTACCAGCTTATGTAGCTGTTGAAGTGAGAGGGTTTTTTTAAGGGCTTTTGTGTTCTTTGTTTCGTCTGCATGATAAACATAGGGTCTAGGGTTTAGGGTTTAGGGTTTAGCGCTGAGGGTTTAGGGTTTAGGGTTTAGGGTTTAGGGTTTAACCTGTCTCCTCGTGCCACTGGGCCTCGTGCTGATCAACAAAAATTTCGTGGGGCTGCAGCTCTTGATAACCCTCGGGCAGCACGATGACGCGCCCCTGAACCACAAACCCTAAACCCTAAACCCTAAACCCTAAACCCTAACCTTGTCGGTATACACCCTGCAGCCTACAGGCCGACGCACCGTCGCACGAACCCCATAAACCCTAAACCCTAAACCCTAAACCTCCCATTTGAATCGCCGGCCTGCAGGAGGAGTGTTAATGTCTAGGGTCTGAGACTTTAAGGGTTTAGGGTTTAGGGTTTAGGGTTTAGGGTTTGGTGAGCACCTGCAGAGGATAACATTCGTCTACAACAGCTCCAGAGAGGGGCCGGTGCTGCTGCTGGCGGTGTCTTAGGGCTTGTGCTGCTGCTGCTGCTGTGCGTCGCCCTTTGCTGCTGCTGCTGCTTCCTGCTGCAGCAGCAGCAGCTGCTGCTGCTGCCTGTCTCCTCCCAGCACTCTCAACAACAGACCTGCAAGAATATAAACCCTAAACCCTAAACCCTAAACCCTAAACCCTTGTTTCCAGCAGAGCAGCACGATGCGTTTATCATACAAAGCCAAAAGCCTCAACCGCCCAAGGGTTTAGGGTTTAGGGTTTAGGGTTTACCTCAAGCACCCAGGGGTTTAGGGTTTAGGGTTTAGGGTTTAGGGTTTAGGGTTTACCAGGTGCCCTCTTGTTCATTGGCTCTGCATATCCTCCAATCGTAAAAACCACAACGAGTAAAAAACCCAAAGTCAACGCGGCCGAGCCACAGCGTGCTTCTCTTCTGCTGCTGCTGCTGCTGCTGCTGCTGCTGCTGCTGCTGCTGCTGCTGCTGCTGCTGCTGCTGCTGGTGCTGCTGCTGCTGGTGATGCAGCGTCGGGGTCCTTGCTGGGGAGAGGCGTGGGGTTGTGTGTGTACTTTGTGTGTGTGCTGCTGCAGCAGCTGCAGCAGCAGCAACAGCATCAGCAGCAGCAGCAGCAGCAGCAGCAGCAGGAGGTGGTGCAGCAGCAACCCCAGCAGCAAAGACAGGATTTTTATCTGAGGATCTAAAGCTTGCTGCTTTCCTCAGCAGCAACAATTCTTCTTTTTTATTCTCCAGGTGTATCTGCAGCTGCTGCTGCTGCTCCTCGCTCTCTATTTGCTGCTGCCACTGCAGCGCGTGGTAAGAGTAAACCCCCGTCCTGCAGCAGCGGCTGAATGAGGGAGCAACCAACACCAAAAATATATCCTCAGGACCCCTCCTGCTGCTGCTGCTGCTGCTGCTGCTGCTGCTGCTGCTGCTGCTGCTGCTGC